AACGGAATTACCGACGGTATATACAGAACCGTCGGAAAACTGTCGGCAAGTCGTCGGGAATTTTTTTCATTTTTCGCACGCAAATGCAACCATATTACCGACGGTTGTTTTTGTCGCGGAATCTCCTACGGTTTACCGACGGTTTTTCCCTTTGGTGAATGTTTAAATTAAATTTACAATTTAACCCCGGCCTCTTCACAATTATTTCTTCCTTCTCGAGGCTCATCCTTACCCACATTCTCATCCACACATAGCTGGTTATATGTGAAGAAATCCTCCCAATATGAAATCATGTGTCATCTTCGAAGTCTCCCAAACTCAATTGGTTGCACGCCGGCGAAGCCTCCCAACCACAAATAGTTGCCCCGCCGTCGAAGCCTCCCGACCTCAAATCGATCCACGCCGCTGATTCCTTTGAACCTGGAGTCGTTGCCCATCGCAGAAGCCGATAAACCTGAAATCGCTACCCACCGTTGAAGCCGCCCAACCTCCACCCTTGTCACCCGTCGAAGCCGTGCAACCTCAAATCATTGCCAGCCGTTGAAGCCTCGCATCCTCAAAAATGCCATATAGCCAGATTTTGTGGTGGTTCTATTTTTCAAGCACTTCTTCGGTTTTTTATATAGTTTGGAGCAGTTCTACACTTGTACATAGATATAGACATGTTCTTCCCGTGTAAATTTCATTCACAGTGATTAATACTTCATATTTCTGTTACATTATTTATGGAGTATATTGTATGTAATTATGCTTTAAGCCAGAAAAATCAGCATGTAGTTTCCATTTAAGATTGAAATGTTCAAGTATAATCTTCTGTGTATTTTCCATTTATGTTTTGTGCAGGAACTGTATTGTACGGAGTATATATTTTATTAAAAGTATTGGCTATATAAACTGGGTTGTATTCGCCATTTTTTTTTACCATTTGGTATACTTCCGAAGGAAATAACTGTTACTATAAGCATTAAATCAATATATTTATTGAGAAGATAGAGACAGTTGTTTCCGTCGCTAATAGGGACAATTTATTTCCGTCCGAAACCCGTCGCAGATTAAAAAAACCGTAGCAAATATCCGTCGGCAACTTTTCCAACCAGCTATTTCGACGAAATTTTTCCGTAGCAATTCCGTTGCTGATTTAATATCATTTTTCGTTCCTATTTGCGTCGTTGATTCACTGTTTTTTTTGTAGTATAACTTATGTTCAGTTTTTAAATTTAAGTTACCATGACATTATCTGGGAAATAGTAGCTCTGATGCCATATACAAAACAATAATATTTGGGAAATAATGGCTTACCCTATTCGGTGCCGCAACCTTATATTTATAATACAACCGAGTTATTAAATTACAGAGTAATACCTAGATAATTACATTATTAGACATTACCTTATAGTAACTATTAATTATAGAGAGAATTCCCTAAATAGGAGTAAAAACGTTTTGAAATCCCAAAATAGGACCATCATGTTTTTTATTCCCTGAATAGGAGTAAATTTCTGCCAAATTTGGCATTACTAGGCTTTAAACATGGCATTTTGTTCCAAACTTGGCATATCACTTCTACTTAGGGAATAAAAAACATAATTGTCTTATATTTTGAAATTTCAAAACATTTTTACTACTATTTAGGACAATTTCTGTTAATTATATTTGTGTAAATAAGTTTTAGAAGATATAATGTTACTACTATATGTCGACATTAAATGTTACGTTGGTGTTATATCTTGTCTAGGGTCTCAAAAGATGTCTAGCCGGCCTCTAAATTAATAGATACCACATGTGACGGATCCTGAAGTTTTTTTAAGCAGGGGTACTGTCGCATGGATGAGAATGAGTCAGGTCGGGTGCAACACTGGCCTAATCTATCTAGTCCGTTCAAATTATTATTTGTAACCGAAAATAGATCATTCAATGTTGGTTTCAAGCATAGACATTTATATATTATAGATCTAGTTAAAAAACCCTAATAAACAATAACAATTGGCTTTCTGAAAGAAAAAACGTAATTCGGATTAGAAATGAATCCTCCTTGCACACCGTTTGTGATTTGCATTAAAATTCTTGTTATTTTAATAGTATAACATGTTCAAGATTATTTGAGTTCTGAACTAGGATCTAGGACTGCACATCGGGTGCGTTGGGTCGGGTTTGCTAGATTTTTTGGGCCTACCCGATTTGTTCGGGTTGACTACTAACCAACCCGCGGTATGCAAAATAAGTTGCATGAACGGGTCGGGTAGGGTCGGGTATTGGGGGAAAAAATCACTTCGGGTTGCATCTTTCATGTGAGAAATTAATGTAACCAATTTAAAACTCGATTATCTTGTTTCCAAAACACAAACAAATACAAGTACTCGTATCTTTTATAAGCATAAACATTATGTAACACCGTCCCCAAATGTATTTACTTTTATGTGAATATTATATTTTAACCTTATGGAATGGTTAAAGAAATTATGATGTTACGAATTTTTATTAATTCTTTCGCACGAATAGTAAATTCGCACGTGAGGCCCGCCCGGAAGCGGGGGCCGCCCGATATTCCCGGGACCACATAAATTATTCATCTTAGTCTAGATAATAATTATATGGTGGTGGATAATTCATTTGAACCATGGAAAGGTCCAGAGTTGACCGATTGGTCAAGAGAGGCCCAAATACCGGTATTGACGATTTTACCGATAAATGTCCGAAATTGAATTTCGGGGACTTATAAATTAAAGTTGGGGAATGAATATTCATTATAAGGTTCATGTTGGTTAAAGAGCATGTAAAATATTTTATTTGACCCGATAAAATAAAATATAACAAAAACTGTCCGAAAAATACAACTTTCGGGACCGATTGTACACTTCGGGACAAAAGGGGTTGACCTCCCACATGAGTGGGGGCCAACCCACGATTTTGGCCACAAAATGGAGGCTGATTTGTCTCAAACAAGGTCTGAAAACCTTGAGATGATGGGGGAGACCATTTTGACATCCTAAGGACCCCATCCTCACTCATTTGGCAAGAAAGCCAAAAAGAAAATCTCACCCCTCTCTCCCTCACCCCCCATCTCGGCTAGCACCCAAGAAAGAAGCAAGAGTAATTTTCCATCCTCCATTCTCCATCTTTGAAGAGAGCTCAAGCTTAAGGAGTCCAAAAGGAGGTCTTTGAGAAGGAAAAAGTGAGGAGAAAGTGAGAAGGGTTAAGGTAAAGACCTTATATTAACTTTTCCTTTATTTTTCTTCTATCATATGAGATATATATCATATGAAGACCCTTGAGAATGGTTCTACATGATTAAGTGTAGAATGATGGGTTGGAAAGTGGTTCTAGGTCCAAGAACGGATTTAGAAGTCAAAACGACCGGTTTACCGGAAAATAACCTTAGAGGTTATTTGTATTGATTAAGGTTTTATGATGTTAAAACCTTGTTAGGGACTTGACTTAAGCATTTTTGAACCTCGCCGGAGTTTCGCCGGAGTTGGTCAAAGTTCACCGGAGTTGGTCAAAGTTCCACCGGGAAGCGGAGAACGCGCTTAAGCTCACTCGAGGTGAGGATGACCGACTATATTGCTTATAATTATTGGGTTAATTTCATAAGATTACCTAAATGAATTATATGTGTTTGGCATGATGTATTTATAATAATAAAATGCCTAAATGAGATTTTTATTGTTCATAAGCAAAAATGCATAATATACAAATTTATGAATAAATTGTGTATGATTATGTGTTATGAATACAATGGTATAATAGTTGTGTAAACTATAAACTAAATTGTGATAAATATACTTTTACCTCATGTAAGGAAGTCATGGAAGGATAAAAGTGATATTTTGATATTAGAGCCAAGTTATACTTGAATGTGGAATTTAATTGAGATATTCAAATTATTATGAACTTAAGTTACATTTGGAGTAGGCCTTAAGGGTTACTCAAAATGGATGGAACCTAGACTAAGAAGTGGTTTAGGGATTAGTTGACGTGACTATGAGCCGAGCTCTAGCACGTGGTAGCATGACTATGAGCCGAGCTCTAGCAAACGTAGGGTGACTATGAGCCGAGCTCTAGCACAAATTAGTATGACTATGAGCCGAGCTCTAGCAAACGTAGGGTGACTATGAGCCGAGCTCTAGCACAATTTTAGTATGACTATGAGCCGAGCTCTAGCGAATGTAGTGTGACTATGAGCCGAGCTCTAGCACAATTTAGCATGACTATGAGCCGAGCTCTAGCATGAAGGAACATGAGTTAAGTACAAATGAATAACATCTTGGATTGAGGGTCTTGGAAATTGAAACTTTGATTATACTTAGTATAGTTGTCATTGTACTTGTCAAATGCTTCCAAGTACTGACCTCCCCTTCACGGGGGAGGCCACCTCACAGTTTCAGGTAGGGAGTAGAGCTTGCTACTACCGCTCGTTGCTTCGGGGAATTCAAGGAGGAAGGCGGGGTTCGTACTTCTCCTGTTTCTGTTTTGAAAACAATTTAAATAATGCTCATGGATATTATTTCGAATATTTATTTGGGGGCTTGTATGCCCGTGGTTGCCACGTGTGGCTTGAATATTTGTAATTATGTTTCCGCTGCTTAATTAAATATTTTACGTTATGATTGTTTATGGATGTACTATGTGTGAATGGTATTCAAGACGCCTAGTATAGTATGGATGAGTTGGACTGCGGTTGACTATTCGTACTGTACGGCGGGTTGTTGACGTGTCCGGTAGGTCCGGGGCGTGACAATTTAATTGGTATCAGAGCCTTAGTCCGTAAACTTCATAATGAAGCTTCAAAATCTCTTTTTGAAAAAACGAATTTGAAACCCATGAGCATAAAGTTTTGTACTTATAGAACTTTTGGTACTTGAGTTGCAAGGTCTCTAATTGTTAAGATGGTACCCTTAACAATTGGTATGACGGTGATTTGAGCCAAAAGATGTCTTTAAGTACCTATCCGTCACTTGACATTTGATACGAGTCTAATGGCTCATTCTAAACTTCTTTCAGAAATGGAACGTACCGGTAGAATTACTCGACGGAACCCGACTGGCCAGGCACTGGGAGGATCCCAACGTGGCAGTCGGGGGGGATCAAGAGAGTCTAGGGGACAGGGCCGTGCAGGCCATTCGCTGACCGTGAGTGACGGTCACGTGGAAACAATAGATGAACACTATGAGTCCGAGGAGGATTCAACTTACCAACCGGGAACTGAGCCGGTTGAGACCCCATATGATGGGGAACACGACGATGCTAGTGATGAGAGTGATGATAATAACGCTCTTGAACGGATTGAGGAATTGCTCCGGCAATACCAACAAGATCGCCAAAGGCGCCGGGCAAGGCGTGCTTTGGAAGGGGCTTCGAGGAGAGGAAGCCGCGCGACTCCTAGGGAGAGCATTGAACTTCGAGGAGGTCGAGGTGCTGAGGTTCCTATCATAAGAATCTCAAAGTACCTAAAGGAGGCGAGAGACTTGGGATGTAAACCGTTTGATGGAACGGGAGACATCTCCGTGGCGGCCGAGTGGATCAAGAGATTCAATGAAGCGGCCCTTGACATGCAACTGCCACCCCACATGAAGATGAGAGTGGCAACAAGATTGCTAGAAGGCATGGCGTCCACGTGGTGGGACGGAGTCAAAGGGAAGTACGGCGAGGCCGTCACTTGGGAGAACTTTAGGCAAGAATTCTTTAGCCAATACTACTCCGACTTCGAGGTGAACTTGAAGAGGAGGGAGTACACGAATTTGACCCAAGGAGGGGAATGCACGGTGAAGGAACTTGAGCACAAGTTCAGGAAACTTGCTGAGTTCATACCGGAGTACATTTGTGACGAAAACCGGATGGTGAACCATTTCTGGGATGCCTTAGACCTTGACATACGCGAGAGGGCAACACAATTGCCTAATATGACGTTTAGTCAAGTGGTTGAACAAGGCTTGAAGGGAGAAAAAGAGTGGGAGGAAAGAAAGCGAAGGAACGCCGAAGAGGCGAAGAAGAGGAAATGGGAGAACCATGGCCCCCAAGGTTCTAACAAAAAGGGGAACCACGGGGGAGGGGGATCGTTCAGAGCGCCGGCACCGCCATCCAAGGGAAACTCGGCCTTCGGCGGGCACAACTCGGGCTCACAAGCCTCAACGGCGCCCAGGTGCAGAAATTGCAACCGGAGCCACGCCGGTAAGTGTCGTGATCCACCACGGTGTTACCAATGTGGGGACACGGGGCATATTAAGCCAAATTGCCCTCAACTTGGTAGGAACCGAGGAGCGGGATCAAGCGGCGCTACTACGGCAAGTAGGAGCCGAACCGGAGCACCTCATGCTAGTACGGGCCAAGGGGGAGCAAGCACGAGCAATGCGCCGTCCGTTAACCAAGGAAGGACCCAAGCAAGGGTCTACGCAATGACGGAGGCGGATGCCCGAGCTAACCCAGATTCGGTTGCAGGTATGACCGCTTAACTTCCCGTATTTTACCCATTCCTCATCCATAAATTGAAGTTATAAATCCTAGAATCCAGGCGGGAGCGGACGTAAGATTGAAATGAGAAAGGAGAGCAAAACCATGCTACTACCCGACCGGGGTAGGGCAATAAACCCGACCGGGTAGGACAAGTTTTTGCCCTCGTAAACCTTCTGGATCGCATACCCGATCGGGTTTGGTAATGAACCCGACCGGGTAGGCCAAGTTTTTGCACTCATAAGTCCACTGGAACACATACCCGACCGGGTATGGTGGTATACCCGACCGGGTTTGTCAAAAATTTCTTCCCGACACCCACTGGAACACATACCCGACCGGGTATGGTGGTATACCCGACCGGGTTTGTCAAAAATTTCTTCCCGACACCCACTGGAACACATACCCGACCGGGTATGGTGTTATACCCGACCGGGTTTGTCAAAAAAATTCTGCCCGAACCCACTGGAACCTATACCCGACCGGGTATAGTATGTTACCCGACCGGGTACACCTCGAAGTGTTCGTCAAATGAAAAAGTTGTCTTCATGAAAGTTGTAGATATTTTCATTGTCTAAATGATGGAATTTGAATCGAACGATTTGGTTAAGTATGTGAAGAGATATGATCAAAACGGTGAGACAGTGTCAATTTATATCTCAACTGCGAACGTTAACCATAATTGGGGGACTTTGCCCACTTTAAGGACATAATTTCGCATTATGTTCTTCGTAGGATTGGTCGGTATGTTAGAGAGGTATCTTACATGGCTTATAAATGTAGGAACACTAAAGATTAATGGGAGATGTGCGAGAATCCTCATCGATACCGGGGCGCAACGATCATTTGTGAGTGAGGCATTCGCCGGGGGATTCAACGTACCCCTGGTACCGATGACTCAAGCCCTATTGGTATCCACACCCCTAGGGGAAGACATCGAGAGAGATAGCCACTATCCATCGTGTGAGGTGGAAGTGGAGGGCCAAAACTTGTCGTGTGATTTCGTGCCGCTGAGTATGATTGAGTTCGATGCAATCCTGGGGATGGATTGGCTTGAGAAGCATCATGCTAGGGTCGATTGTTACACGAAAGTACTTGAACTCGAAGGCAATGAAGGGGTGACCCTACGCTTCGAGGGGGATAGGGCAAAATCCAATAGTTGTATCATATCCGCTGTGAGGGCTAAGAATATGATGAGGAAGGGATGTCACGCATATCTAGCGTATGTGGTGGACAAAACCAAAGAAGAGACGAGCATTGATGATGTTAGGGTAGTATGCAAGTATCGGGACGTCTTTCCAAAAGACTTACCGGGACTTCCACCCGATAGGGAGATTGAGTTCGTGATCGAAGTCGAGCCCGGCACCAAACCAATCTCCATACCGCCATACCGTATGGCACCCGCTGAACTTAACGAGTTAAAAACCCAATTGCAAGAGCTTTTGGATAACGGTTTCATCAGACCAAGCCACTCCCCGTGGGGAGCACCAGTCCTTTTTGTGAAAAAGAAGGATGGAACACTTCGAATGTGCATTGACTATCGTCAACTGAACAAGGTCACAATCAAGAATAGGTATCCCTTGCCTAGGATTGATGACTTGTTTGATCAACTACGAGGAGCAACCGTGTTTTCAAAGATTGACTTGAGGTCGGGGTACCATCAACTGAAGATTAAGGAGGATGACATACCGAAGAGTGCTTTCCGCACGAGGTATGGGCATTTTGAGTTCCTCGTTATGTCGTTTGGGTTAACAAACGCCCCGGCGGCATTCATGGACTTGATGAACCGAGTATTTCACAAATACTTGGACCGATTCGTGATTGTGTTCATTGACGACATCTTGATCTACTCAAAGAGTGAGGAGGAGCATAAGGAGCACTTGATACTCGTTCTTGAGACACTACGGGAGAAGCAACTCTATGCCAAATTTTCTAAATGTGAATTTTGGCTTAAGGAGATTGGTTTTCTCGGGCATGTGGTTTCGGGATCGGGAATTGCTGTTGATAACAAGAAGATAGAAGCCATCACCGAATGGGAGAGGCCAAAGAACGTCAAGGAAATTCGTAGTTTCCTTGGATTGGCAGGATACTATAGAAAGTTCGTGGAGAAGTTCTCTGTTTTGGCATCACCGTTGACGAAGCTCACTCGAAAAGGAGCTAAGTTTGTATGGGATGACAAATGTGAGAAAGGATTCACTGAACTGAAGAAGAAATTGACCGAGGCACCGGTACTTGCATTACCCAAACAGGGTATGGGGTACGATGTCTATAGCGACGCGAGCATCCAAGGGCTTGGATGTGTGTTAATGCAGGAGGGGAGGGTAATTGCCTATGCTTCACGACAGTTGAAGAAGCATGAGGTAAATTACCCCACCCATGATCTAGAGTTGGGAGCAGTGGTGTTCGCACTGAAGATTTGGAGACATTATCTCTACGGAGAAACATGTCACATATACACTGACCATAAGAGCTTGAAGTACGTGTTTACTCAGAAAGAGTTAAACATGAGGCAGAGACGGTGGATGGAGTTGATAAAGGACTACCATCTAGTGATTGAGTACCATCCAGGCAAGGCAAATGTGGTGGCAGATGCTTTGAGCCGGAAGAGCTCATCTGGGGCATTGATAGCTAATTTGAGGGCATTAAGAGCCCAACTGGAGGTGTCCAGTAATGGTGCCTTATTGGCACGGTTTGAGGTGAGACCTACTTTGCTTGATGAGATCAAGAAGGGTCAGGAAACTGACGATGAAATTATGAAGATCAGGGAACGCATGCAAGCGGGACCGGTGGAGGACTTCAGGGAAAGAGACGACGGTCTTTTATTATTTCGCGACCGAGTGTGTGTGCCGGCAGATGATGGGCTCCGAAAGTCCATCTTAGAGGAAGCTCATTCATCGGCTTATGCCATGCACCCGGGGGGCACGAAGATGTATCGCGATTTGAAAGAAAGTTACTGGTGGTCCGGTATGAAGAGAGAGATAGCCGAGTACATCAGTCGGTGCCTTACTTGTCAGCAAGTCAAGGCAGAGCATCAGTATCCAGCTGGGTTATTACAGCCACTTTCCATTCCAGAATGGAAGTGGGAGCATGTGACTATGGATTTCGTGGTGGGGTTACCACGGACCGTGAACAACTATGATGCAGTATGGGTTGTAGTTGATAGGCTCACCAAGAGTGCTCACTTTTTGCCTATTAACATCACTTACCCTCTTGAAAGATTGGCAAAACTATACACGGAGGAGATTGTGAGACTACATGGAGTCCCGATATCCATTGTCTCGGATAGGGATCCACGATTCACATCTCGATTTTGGCCCAAGTTTCAAGCATCTTTGGGTACTAAATTGAAGTTCAGCACGGCTTTTCATCCACAGACGGATGGACAATCCGAGCGAGTGATACAGATATTGGAGGACATGCTTAGGGCGTGTGTTCTGGAGTTCCAAGGAAGTTGGGACAAACATTTGGCTCTAGTCGAATTCGCCTATAACAACAGTTATCAGGCGAGTATCGGCATGCCTCCATACGAGGCATTGTATGGGAGGAAGTGCAGAACACCGTTATGTTGGGACGAGGTTGGCGAGGCCAAGCTCGAGGGGATTGAACTTGTTGAAATCACCAAGGCTAAGGTGAAAGTCATTCAGGATAGACTCAAGGCCGCCCAAGATCGGCAGAAGAGCTATGCCGACAAACGACGAAGGCCATTGGAATTCGAGGTCGGTGATAAGGTCTTCCTAAGGATTTCTCCTTGGAAGGGTATCATCCGATTTATATCGAGGGGAAAGCTTAACCCCCGATACATTGGTCCATTTGAAATCCTTGAAAGGATAGGGGCCGTAGCATACCGACTCAAGTTAACGCCGGAACTTGAGAAGATACACGATGTGTTCCATGTATCGATGCTCAAGAAATACGTGAGAGACCCGTCTCATATCCTTGAGAGGCCACCGGTAGAGATACGCGAAGACCTACAATATGCGGTGGAACCGGTGAAGATTGTGGGACAACAAGTGAAGAAATTGAGAAACAAGGAGATTCCTATGGTGAAAGTCCTTTGGAGGAGTGATCGGGTCGAGGAAGAAACATGGGAGACCGAGGTCTCGATGAGGGAGCAATACCCTTTTCTTTTCGACTAGGCACGTGGATTTCGGGGACGAAATCCCAAATAAGGGGGGGTGAACTTGTAACACCGTCCCCAAATGTATTTACTTTTATGTGAATATTATATTTTAACCTTATGGAATGGTTAAAGAAATTATGATGTTACGAATTTTTATTAATTCTTTCGCACGAATAGTAAATTCGCACGTGAGGCCCGCCCGGAAGCGGGGGCCGCCCGATATTCCCGGGACCACATAAATTATTCATCTTAGTCTAGATAATAATTATATGGTGGTGGATAATTCATTTGAACCATGGAAAGGTCCAGAGTTGACCGATTGGTCAAGAGAGGCCCAAATACCGGTATTGACGATTTTACCGATAAATGTCCGAAATTGAATTTCGGGGACTTATAAATTAAAGTTGGGGAATGAATATTCATTATAAGGTTCATGTTGGTTAAAGAGCATGTAAAATATTTTATTTGACCCGATAAAATAAAATATAACAAAAACTGTCCGAAAAATACAACTTTCGGGACCGATTGTACACTTCGGGACAAAAGGGGTTGACCTCCCACATGAGTGGGGGCCAACCCACGATTTTGGCCACAAAATGGAGGCTGATTTGTCTCAAACAAGGTCTGAAAACCTTGAGATGATGGGGGAGACCATTTTGACATCCTAAGGACCCCATCCTCACTCATTTGGCAAGAAAGCCAAAAAGAAAATCTCACCCCTCTCTCCCTCACCCCCCATCTCGGCCAGCACCCAAGAAAGAAGCAAGAGTAATTTTCCATCCTCCATTCTCCATCTTTGAAGAGAGCTCAAGCTTAAGGAGTCCAAAAGGAGGTCTTTGAGAAGGAAAAAGTGAGGAGAAAGTGAGAAGGGTTAAGGTAAAGACCTTATATTAACTTTTCCTTTATTTTTCTTCTATCATATGAGATATATATCATATGAAGACCCTTGAGAATGGTTCTACATGATTAAGTGTAGAATGATGGGTTGGAAAGTGGTTCTAGGTCCAAGAACGGATTTAGAAGTCAAAACGACCGGTTTACCGGAAAATAACCTTAGAGGTTATTTGTATTGATTAAGGTTTTATGATGTTAAAACCTTGTTAGGGACTTGACTTAAGCATTTTTGAACCTCGCCGGAGTTTCGCCGGAGTTGGTCAAAGTTCACCGGAGTTGGTCAAAGTTCCACCGGGAAGCGGAGAACGCGCTTAAGCTCACTCGAGGTGAGGATGACCGACTATATTGCTTATAATTATTGGGTTAATTTCATAAGATTACCTAAATGAATTATATGTGTTTGGCATGATGTATTTATAATAATAAAATGCCTAAATGAGATTTTTATTGTTCATAAGCAAAAATGCATAATATACAAATTTATGAATAAATTGTGTATGATTATGTGTTATGAATACAATGGTATAATAGTTGTGTAAACTATAAACTAAATTGTGATAAATATACTTTTACCTCATGTAAGGAAGTCATGGAAGGATAAAAGTGATATTTTGATATTAGAGCCAAGTTATACTTGAATGTGGAATTTAATTGAGATATTCAAATTATTATGAACTTAAGTTACATTTGGAGTAGGCCTTAAGGGTTACTCAAAATGGATGGAACCTAGACTAAGAAGTGGTTTAGGGATTAGTTGACGTGACTATGAGCCGAGCTCTAGCACGTGGTAGCATGACTATGAGCCGAGCTCTAGCAAACGTAGGGTGACTATGAGCCGAGCTCTAGCACAAATTAGTATGACTATGAGCCGAGCTCTAGCAAACGTAGGGTGACTATGAGCCGAGCTCTAGCACAATTTTAGTATGACTATGAGCCGAGCTCTAGCGAATGTAGTGTGACTATGAGCCGAGCTCTAGCACAATTTAGCATGACTATGAGCCGAGCTCTAGCATGAAGGAACATGAGTTAAGTACAAATGAATAACATCTTGGATTGAGGGTCTTGGAAATTGAAACTTTGATTATACTTAGTATAGTTGTCATTGTACTTGTCAAATGCTTCCAAGTACTGACCTCCCCTTCACGGGGGAGGCCACCTCACAGTTTCAGGTAGGGAGTAGAGCTTGCTACTACCGCTCGTTGCTTCGGGGAATTCAAGGAGGAAGGCGGGGTTCGTACTTCTCCTGTTTCTGTTTTGAAAACAATTTAAATAATGCTCATGGATATTATTTCGAATATTTATTTGGGGGCTTGTATGCCCGTGGTTGCCACGTGTGGCTTGAATATTTGTAATTATGTTTCCGCTGCTTAATTAAATATTTTACGTTATGATTGTTTATGGATGTACTATGTGTGAATGGTATTCAAGACGCCTAGTATAGTATGGATGAGTTGGACTGCGGTTGACTATTCGTACTGTACGGCGGGTTGTTGACGTGTCCGGTAGGTCCGGGGCGTGACACATTAGGTAATAGTATTAAAACATCCTTCCGTAAAGGAAGTTCATTTAGTAGGAAACATAAATATATAATAATGATCTTGTCAAAATGATAAATGTTTAATTATAATTCTAATATCATAAAGTCCTAGATAGAGCATATTGGTCTTAAATTGAAATTATCCAAGAAAACGTTGTAGCATAATAATAGTAAAATGAACTTCGGCCGGGTCGGGTACTATCGGGTTTGAGATTTTAATTCCGCAACCCTACCCATTAGGTACGGGTTTAAACATATTTAACCCATGAATATTTTTAAAAATCAAATACCCGATTAGATAGGGTCGGGTAGGGTCGGGTAGGGTCGGGTAGGGTCGGGTAGGGTTGGATCGGGCGGGTTATGCGGGTTCGGATTATTCTCGTGCAGCCCTACTAGGATCATGTCGAATGAATCCACATTGTACCACTACATTTGATTTGTTGATACTTGTTTGAAATATAATGTTACCATGTTAAGAAATGAAGAATAATTCAACTTTGTGATTCCATCCTTCAATACAATTTTATTTACTACGTAGTAATTTGATTTTATATATCCAACTTTTATTACGTTGCAGTACATAAACTCAAAGAGGCTATGAGTGTGACACTAATGTAATTTATCTCGAATTGACACATTTTTGCATTAATGTATTATTGTGCAAAAGAAAAGTCTTCCATCCTTTAAGTTCATCCCCCATATAACCATATTAGAAGCCTTATTATATCTTAGACCACTAACTTTGGACGAACATTATTCATATATACTTAACAAAGAAAATCATCAATGCAACTTTTCAAAGAAAACATGTTGACCATATATACTTAACTGTAAGGAATCGCTCAATCACATCCTTGTGATTGTTTACATTTCTCATGTAACAAATGTAGATAATGATCTCAGACAGATATAACACATATAAATAGAACAAAAAATGGAGTAGATCAGTACAATTGTTATATACTCATCGATGAAATTATCTCCATATCTAAGAGTTTTTTTGTTTGTGTAGGGGACACAATTTTTATCTTTAAATACTAATACTAAATTATGGGGTCGGAAGCATATATAGGGACTTGCCCCCAGGCCCTCCAGGCCTCCATTATTGGATAGTACTCATATTTGAAAACTTTGTCATTGTTTTACTAAAGATATTTAGGCAATATCTTTTAAATTTGGGGTATGTAATACGAATGGGTATTGGGTAGATGGAAAAGATAATATAAGCTGGTAAAAGTAATTATAATAATATGATGATTATTATTATTATTATTATAGCGAGCCAATTAATAAGGATGGGAGGCAGTGAAAGTAAATACATGACTCCGTATAATACTCGCGCGCGATAATGATTAGATTGAGTCAATAAGGAGTAACAACGTAACGGTGAATATCTTGCATCGATCATCATTTACGCGGAATTAAAAAAAGGATTCGATCTTCTTGACATACGTACATACCGATGGAATGGGTAATGACCATCCAATCCCCATACAGAAATGACTATAAATACATGGTTTCCAGGAACGAAGAAATCCACCATGCATCTAGCTCGTCGCTTCAATTGCTAGCTAGGTACAATAACATACATTATATATACTCTAGCTAATAAGATACTCCGTATAAATAAATCAAAAATGAAAATGGGGGGGTTTGCAGTGATATTTTTGTGGTGGTTTTCATTTGGTGGGAGCCGTGCATACGACCCGAGTCCTCTCCAAGAGTACTGCGTTGCCGTAGACCAGAACTCAACAAACGGCGTGTTCGTGAATGGGCGGTTCTGCAAAGATCCAGCGCAGGTCGAAGCAAAGGACTTCTTCGCAAGCGGTCTCAACGCATCCCCCTATCCTGCGGCATTTCCGGGATCGAATTTCAGCTTCGCCAGCGTGACCAACATGCCCGGCCTCAACACCGGCTCCCTCACGCTCATCCGCAACGACTACCAGGGCAACACCGTGATTCCGCCCCACACCCACCCCCGGGCCGTCGAGCTCGCCGTCGTTGTCAAGGGCAGCTTCTACTTCGCGTTCGTGGCCAGCGACCCCTACGACGCCAACAAGCCGCCGCGCCTCTTCGAGAAGTGGTGCGGGGAGGGAGACGCGTTCACCGTCCCGCAGGGCCTCACTCACTTCGGGCTGGCCAACGGGTCCGACGGAGGCACCACCTATACGGTGTTCAACAGCCAGAGCCCCGGCTTTCATTTCGTCACCACCGACCTCTTCGCCGCTCCCATTCCAGCTGGATCCGCCCTCGACGATGTGCTCAAAGGATCTTTCGGAATCGACGACACTGTGCTTCAACAAATCCGAGACTCTGTCAATCGGCCACAGTCATAATATAATCAACCATCATTCCGCATTCATTCCGCCGCATAATATGCATGCATGCACACCTTGACCTTACTTAAGATTCCGCATTAATTACTTTTTCTCTGTCGATCCGCCCACGTACCCAACCACTGTATTTTTCTTTTCACACATTCGCGCGCTTAGTACGTTTTCCATTCGCGCGCGTTATATATCCGAAATTAACTTGTTTCTATATTTGGTTAAGTTTCTATCACCTCATTGAATTCACTTGTATCACTCACTTTAGTATTCGTCAAGTCTTTACTATACCGATTTGAGCACTACACCTTTTAATGACTGGAGGGTATCTTTAAAAAGCCAACTTTATTTAATACTCTCTCCGTCCTCGAAATAATTTTCCAGTTTGACTTACACCCATATTAAGAAAATAAACTTCTCAGTGGTTAAATTTTACTTTTTTGACACTGTTTCGATACTGTTTGACATTGTTCGACACTGTTTTGATGTAAATAATTTGTCGTTTAAGAAAATGGAAAGTTAAATTAGGACATCCAAATAAGGAAAATGAGAAAGTTGTTTCAGGGACGGAGGGAGTATATCAGTATTTTCTTTCTTGTAACCTTTTCGATCCGGCCACCTGATATATACTCATATCTTGTATATATAAATAATGTTAACAATGAATTCATGAATCCAGGCGGGCGAAATAATTAATTTAATATAAAATAACTGCTTAGGATGTTTTTACTTGGATTGTTTTCAATCTCAGACTAGAGCAGATCAGACCAGATAAGTTCAGACCAAACCAGACCAAAAAATCCAAGTACAAGTAAATACATCCTTAATCTCCATGGGTAAATAATTGCAATTTTTTTTGTTTCCGGTAAGTGCAAATTTAAGAATCTGACATGGGTTACCTTTTATTTATATATATTTATAGGTAGATTCTATGGTACCCAAAAGGTACCATACCTTTGTCTACTTGGACCAAACAGAATTTTGTAGTTGAATTATTTAAATCTAAATTAAAAACGATTTAATGATTTGGACCAATCATGTGAGTGGTAGGTACGGTACCCCATTTTTTAAATGGGTACCAGAGTTGTCACCTTATTTATATGGGAAAATAGAAACTAATAATCCAACCTTTTAGCGACCTTCTTACAATAGTCCCACCTTTTGATTATACATGAATAATCCAACCCTTGCAACTCATCTTCATTCACTGGTCCCTAACCGGTTCATGACCTGTTATTCCAAGTTATTTTCCTATCTTTGCAAACCATTATACCATAAATCTCACCTTTCACAAAGATAATATTTTGCAAAGATAAGAAAATAACTTAGAACAACAGGTCATGAACCGGTCAGGTACCAGTGAATGAAGACGAGGTGCAAAGGTTGGATTATTCATGAATAATCAATATGTGGGACTATTGTAAGAAGACCGCTAAAAGGTTGGATTATTAGTTTCCATTTTCCCTATTTATATTGATGAAAGTATGCTCATTTGTATGGTCCTAGCAGTTTTTTAGACAAGCTAGCTAGTACTCCGGATGTAATTAAAGCCTGACCCTGCTAGCCTTCAATTTTTATATGCTCCTTTAATTCAATGATTTTCAGATCCTATTTTTATACTACGGTATATCATTACATCGAATCATTTTTTATTTAATTCTGCGATTTTAGTTGATTACAAAATCACTTATATTTCATTCAATCTTTTAGATTTTCTTTTAAGTGTGTACAATTTTAAAACATGAAACCATATCAAGGTGATTAATTACTACGGTCACATATCGCGCAGTTCTATGAAATGTTACCTAAAATATGTAAATAATTTTCAAATCGCTGACACGAAACTCAATTGTTTGCATGATAACTGCCCCTCATAAACCAAACTAAACTCTTACTATGGGAATACAAAAACACGTTATTTCCCGTCCTTTATTTACGAAAATACTCCGTATAATATCTTCTTTCTTGTCGTATAGTATCAATGTTTTTCAAATGACTCATGATTACGATTAAAATACTTTTAGAATTAGAGTAAAGGCCGACCCTCCAACCCCAAATTACATACTACCTCCGTTCTTAAATACGTGTAACATTGCAAATTTTACATTATTCACATGTTCTACTTCGACTATATTTTATTTATTAATGTATTAATTAATTAATATATGTTTTTGAAAACAATATTACTAAATTGTCTTATTGTAAATTTTCAAAATCTGATTTTTTATAATTTTTTTACTAATAGAGAGCTACATATATTAATGGTCAAAGTTGTGCCTCGACAAATGTGAAATGTTGACTGTTGCACATACGTAGTATTTAAGAACGGATGTAGTATTACAAATTAATCTAAAAGAAAACATGTGATAAAAGTTTTTTGAACAAACAAGAAAGAAAAGTTGTTAAAGTCCGGTAAATGAAGAAAAAATATATTTATATACTTCCTCCGTCTCAAATTGATTTGCAAAGTCAATATTTTTTGTCAACTAATATTAAAGTTAAATCCTTCATATTGATAATTCAGTTTTTAGTTTCACAAAATATATTAAAATATAATTAAAAATTGACTAACTAATTAAATA